GTCCGCCATCTTTTTGAGATCAGTGAGGATGACCACCCACGCACAGTGACCCACGCCCGCGATATTTGATGAACTTTAGACTTGGCTAATGCTTTCGTTTCCCCGGGTGTAAATAGCCGGGGGGAATTAGTACCCTCGCACTGTGCTTCGCGCCGCCGGCTCGTGGATTACTTTTATCTCGAGTGGTGAAAAGTCACATGACATCTCACTGTGTATTTTTCAGCATCTCACTCTCTACTATATAATAAATTATTAAATTATTTTTATTTCATTTTTTATTTCTTACTGTTATTAACAGTATATCACTTTTATCAGTGAAAGCGATGGAGAATTATTTTCGCCCTCGGTTGACTCGCTGATGGTTGACCTTCATCAGCCAATGAGCCACACAACAGTTTTTAGTAAAGGGTATGGTTATGGTAATTTTGCGCATCTCGCACAATTAAACTGATGTTAAAGGAAATGAAAATTTCGAGTCTAATTTTTATACATTTACTTAGACCTAACCAAGAGCAGCCTTAAAAAATACAACTATATAGGTATCAGGCTATAAATTCCTGAACTTTCAGTACATTTTCCACAGCTGCTTCTAATTTATAGGTCTAAATAACTCTGAATTTCCACCTATTACAGTATTCTTCAACATTTATGGTAACAATATGAATTGCCTACACAAACAGTCGTATCCAGTTGTAACTTCAATTTATTTGCTATTAAATAGTATGAACCATCAATGGCCAACAGCGGCATCTTCATGGAGATACCGCTGTCAAGAGAAAATATTTCAATGACAGCCAAGCTCGTGCTTTTAAAAGGCTTGGTTTTGAAACCATCAAAACCTGTCGAGGTAGGTGTGATTGGGTTGATGGTAATTACAGTGTTGGTGGTAGTAATAATAGTAATGGCGATGATACAATAATAATAGAATACAATTTATTTAATGTGAAACAATTACACTTAGCTACACTCAGCTAATTTACAGGTAATGCCACGAATTTCTAACTATTATATATCTAAATAAATCAACTAAATAACTATTTAGACAATTATGCATTGGAAATATCCAGAATGTGCCCAATGTCAATTATACTGTATTTAAAAGCTTTATAGTTCTCTGCCGATCTAACTAGGTCAGGAAGCGCGTTCTGTATATATAATTTGGCGGCCTGATACTGCCAAGACTTCAGTCCATACGTGGTCGAATTTACTTTGGGCAGTTTTAAAATATCTTTACCTCTAAGCGAGTATGTACTTTGTCTGAGATTTATAGAAAGTCTTTCAGGCTTTCCGGTGAGTTAGAGTCATTTATTAATTTATATACATTCAATATTATTTTCTTAACTCTTTGGTGTCTCAATGGTATAGTTCCTATTTTATTAAGCAGTTTTTCATATGGAGTAGATTTGTCTTTAAAGGGGCCCTACAGTCATTTTTTAGTCGAAAAGCCACCTTAAGTGTTGTTTACATATTTTTGTTATTGTCACTACTTGACATGCGCATCACAGCATGCATGCTTCTTCCGGTGTGTGGAAGTACTCGTACTCATGGATACTGCATGTAAGATACAGCCAAACGAATCTCCGTGGAGTCCCCTACTTAAGGTGGCTTTTCGACCAAAAAATGACTGTAGGGCCCCTTTAAAGATAATACGAATTGCGCGTTCATTGACTTTCTCCAACTTGTCGGAGGATGACTTATTGCAGAAATGCCAGCTTTCAGAACAACAATTAAAATGTGGAACGATGAAGGAAGTGTAAATACTTAATCTCGTTTCAAATGGAAGCATGTTCCTCATACGTTTTAGCACGGCAACTTGTTGCGAAAGTTTACGACAAACTTTGTTTACATGCATGCCAAATTTCAGTTTTTTTGTCAACCGTTACCCCAAGACTGCCAAGTAGCTCTAAAACATCACTGTTTGTGATGACTGTGTTTTCGCAGGAAAATTCAGGTTTAATCTCACATTTTCCCTGCAATGGCTTGATATTTTGTGTAATTTCTTCTCATTCCATTTTCTGCGTACCATTTGTCGAAGTTGGCCAAGTCAGAATTTATAGTTTCATGAACTTTCACTGGATCTTGGTCTGCGTGAAAGATTTGCGTATCGTCCGCATACACTATATGGTGATGTTGGTAGCAATGACAATGCCTATCATATTCATGTTTGTATAGGTTACTAAAGAGGGAATTTCGATATTTGTTGAATGCGGTAAGTTGTTTAAATGGTCTGTAAATCACCATAAAGACATCATTTATAACACTTGAGAGTTTTGGAGACACAAGATTCTTACGTCCCCAGCTGGAAATCCCTGTAATTTTATTTTATTCCCGCAGGAAACTGCACTTTTTTCTCATTATTATTAAAAACTTATTTACAAACAATATAACCCTTCAACTTAATTGCTGCTTTTAAAGGGATTGCTCAAAAGAAAAACAGAACATTTACAAAACTGCAACATCTGTAAAATGATTCTGTATGAATTTTGGATTTTAGACTTTGCTTGCATAGTATGTTGGACGCTAAAATATGTTCGTTTTCCAAAAAAAATTATATACTAAAATGCGTAAATTCTTCCGTACTTTTTACATAAATGGCATGTGATAAAAACCAAACATACTTGCAGCTTCGGTGAGTCTGGGATTGGACGAGCCTCGAGCGGCTGGAAATTTCCTGGACCCTCGCGAAATTTCCAGCCACCCTCGATGCGTCCAATCCCAGACTCACCTCCCTGCAAGTATATTTTTGTTATAAAATCAAACTTTACTTTTGTGTCCGAGGTGTTTACGAATCGGGTTGGTAGCGTAATAATACTACTAATTTTTAAAATTTGTAACATTATAAACCTCAAATTCAAAGCTAAGTTTGTGCCATGTGAGCATCATATTTATCATCATGTCTAGCCTTACATCATTGTATTTGACGTTGCTTTTAATTTCAATCATATCACACGGGATGATATAATTTGCGTAAGCCACGCGCTGCAATCGCGCAAACAAGATATACTGAGGAACTTTGAAATAAATATAACTGGAACGCTACCTTCAGATAAATTGTATGCCTTAATTTTCCTTGAAGATGCTAGGACAAGCTTCTATGAAACATGCCTGTGAGTTTAAAGAAGCGTGGCATAGTATAGATAAACTAACATTTAACCGCCATATTGACATTCCTGTAATATACTTACAACTAAAACACTCACACAAAAGACCTGTTTCTCCTTCATTAACAATAGAGAGTTTAAATTCGACTTCCGATACCAATACCGATACTAGGTGTGAAGCAGTAAAGACAATTCGGCAGTTCATAACCTTTAGGGTATTTTCCCAGCTTTATAGAACTTTGGAGATTTTATTTTTATATATAGATTAAATTTTATGTACTATTTAAAACATGAGCAGCAGTGTTTTATCAGATATAAAGATACGAGGCAGATGCGTAGCAAGCATCTAAAAGTTGGGGGGCCAAGGCTTTGAGGGGCACTTTTCAAATGAAAAGGACACCTAAAATTTTTTCCCCGGAAATGTTGGGGAATGGGGGGGACGTCATCTCAAAAAATTCTCCAAACATAGATATCATATTTTTTCACGAAAATGACGAAACTTTTCCTGATATAACATAATTTTAGCCAAAATAACAAAATTTTTCAGGACATAAAAAAACAAATGCATCATAAATCAAAGACCTTTTGGGCAAAAAATGCAATCTGAACGACATTTTTCACCGAGGTGAAGGGCACTTTGCTCCCGGAAAAAGGACACTTTTGAAAACTTGGGGGTGCCTGCTCCCCTCCCCCCCCCGGTACCTACGCCCCTGATACAAGGCGAAGCCGAGTATCTTTAGGTCTGATAATACACGCACTGCGAATATTTTAAAAATGATCGAGTAATTTTAAAAAAATACGTTATATAAATCGAGAAAGTCTTGTGTAAATCAAGGAAAATCTCTACCACATATAAAGATACGACACGCTTATGATTTTTCTTTGTGTTTTCCTCATGAATTATTGATGAGGTTTTGAATTTACTAGTAAAGAATATGTGCATGAAATACCTTCCAGCTTGACTGTTCATTTATTTGACGGTCCTTGAATATTCTTGCACTAGTTCAACAGATCGTACCCATTCAGCCTCTCTATTCACAGTTTGTTTGTGCACCTTGATACACTGAGTGCATACGGCTGAAATATTTATAAATTAAGAGAGGATCAAATCAGATACTTTGGCAACGCACAATTATATAATGTTGCCAAATTTAAGCAAAACTATAAACATAACGATTCATAAAACTATAAACATAACATTACAAACGCAAAAAACTATAAACATAACATTACGAAGAGTTATCAGGGATTATTTAGGAATAGCTCGGGAATTACAAAGATAAGTTTTAAATGGGCCGAAAACCCCATATGTAAACCAGGAGTTAAATATAGCACACATACATGGCATTATTTCTTCTCAGTGGCTCGTTTGCAGACAAATTTTTTTTAGTTATGACAATAGGAGCCTTGCTTTTTATTTATTTAATCCATTAGATCCACATAGGTGCCACTTTGGAAAAATGGCACTTCAGTTTTGAGTAATTTTTAATATCTGCCCGCCATCTTGAAATCGTCGTCTCTTGGGAACTTTCAAAAATATCTAAAACGTAAAACACCGTCAGAAATGTAGAGTGCCCATCTATGCTGCAATAAGAAAAAATCATTGCGAACTCACGACTCCTGAAATAGCAGACTCAGAAACTAACAACAAATCAATCTTGACTGATAATTTAAAACAGTTAAGGGATGCTAATCATAAGAAATGTTTAATAGCTAGCTTAAATGTAAACAGTCTACCGAACAAATTTGTCGAAATCAAAGAGTGGCTACGCTGTGGTGTTTTCGATATTCTCTCAATTCAAGAAACAAAAATTGATAAAACCTTCCCAAATTCTCAATTTTACGTCGAAGGATTTAAATATTTTCGTAGGGATCGAAAGAAAGGCGGAGGCGGCATTATTGTCTACATAAAAGAAAACATTATTGCACAAAAAAGAAAATTGCATGCAAACAGCTCGAGACCATTCTACTTCAATTACGCATCGGACAGCGACAATTTGCATTAATCAGCGCATATAAACCACCCTCGGTAGACAATAACGCGTTCACCACTGAATTATCAATGGTATTAGACGAAGCGTTTCTATTAAGCGAAAACATTGTTTGCACTGGAGACTTGAATTCTGATTTATTGCAGCCTCTGTCCAACAATAAACAAGGGAAATGCTTGCTGGATATTTGCGACATTTACGATTTAGATTCTCTTATTAATAAACCAACGCGAGTATCAGAAAATCGATCGTCTTGCCTTGACGTTATTTTAACAAACGTGCCAGCATTTATGGGAGACTCTGATGTTGTAGAAACAGGACTCAGCAATCATTACTTGGTATATACAGTTCTAAACATAAAGCCTATGCGACCTAAATCAGAGCCCCTCATTAAACGCTCGCTTAAAAATTTCAATCAGAAGGCGTTCCTTGAGGATCTCAGTAAAGTACCATTCACTACTGCTTACATATTTGACGACTCAGACGACGTTTATTGGTGCTGGGAAACACTCTATAATCAGGTGCTTGATGATCATGCTCCAATAAGAAAGTTTTATCGCCGGCCACGAATAGCATCAAAGTTTATCACTGCAGAAACCCGAAATGCCATGAAAGAAAGGGACCGTTTAAAGAAAAAGTATTATAAATCTAGAAACCCTACAGATTGGGAGCAATACCGCCAGATCAGAAATAAGGTAGTCAGCATGCGAAGGAAATCGGTCCAAGAGCATTTCAGGAAACTCTGCGTAGACAAACACGGAAATCAGAAAAAGTTCTGGAGCACTATAAAACCGTACATTAATTCAAGGAAAATTAAAAGCAATAGTCGTATTGTTATTAAAGACAATGAAAAGATTATTACTGACACGAAAGAAGTGGTGGAGACATTGAATAAATATTTTTCGAGCGATGCTTATGTTCCAGACTCCGATCATGCAAATAGACCTATGCCAGACTTAAATCACATAGCTGAAAACGTTGTAAATGTGCCAACATTATCACTGAAGGAAACTAATTACGTAGAAGTTAGAGAGATACTAGAAGATGTTAAAATAAATAAAGCTACAGGATACGACCTTATCCCGCCTCGACTGGTGAAAGAGTCAGCTGAAGTGCTTTGCTATCCCCTGAGCACATTAATTAACTATATTCTGGGCAATGGAAAAATCCTTCAGCAATGGAAATCCGGCGAAATAACACCTGTATATAAGAAAGAATGTGAACTGAGCAAAATTAACTATAGACCTTTAACGATTTTGCCTTCCCTCTCTAAGGTATTTGAGAAGATAGTAGAGCTGAGAATGAGCCCTCATTTTGAGAAAATATACCACAAATACGTTTTTGCGTATAGAAAACATCACGGATGTGATACAGCTATTCTATCCTTGACAGAAGAATGGAAGAAGGAACTCGACAATCACAAGGTGATTGGTCTTGTGGCGATGGATCTTTCAAAAGCTTTTGACACACTGCCACACGACTTAACTGTCCAGAAGTTGAAACAATACGGCGCTGACCAAAAAACAACGACGCTAATCACGGACTATCTCTCTAACCGACGTCAAAGGGTCAAGCTCGGAAGTAACTACTCTTCATGGGAGAACATTTCTGCAGGAATACCTCAAGGCTCCATCCTTGGCCCACTGCTTTTCAATATTTTTATGAATGACCTTGCATATGTTATCAAACACAGCAAATTATCAGCTTACGCAGACGACACACAGATCTCCTATGCAGATAAAGACCCTGCAAAAGTGGAAGAAGTCATTAACTCTGATTTAGCCAAAGTTGACCAGTGGTATAAAGAAAATAGAATGCAAAGAAATCTCTCCAAGTACCAAGCAATCGTAATGGGAAAACCAAAAGCCAATCTTGAATTTCGCTGTGAAAACACAACCATTCCCAACTGCGAGGAAATGGAACTTCTTGGGGTCACTATGGATAACAAGCTGAAATTTGAAAAACATGTAGCAAAAATATGCCGGAAAGTGTCTCAACAAACTGCAGTTTTAAAGCGTATGAGAAATATACTCCCATTCGAAATAAGATCTAACATTTATACGTGCTTTATCGCACCGCATTTCAGGTACTGTTCTGAAACCTGGCATTTTTGTAACAAGATCACAGCTGACAAGTTGGAGAAAGTGCACGAACGTGCGATCTGCTTTGTTTTCAAGGACAGGTACGCACCCTACGAGGAACTTCTCGCAAAATTGGGACTCTCAACTTTGAGGCACGAACGAATTAAAAAAAATATTTGTAATGTGTATAGATCATTAAATCACAGCAACTATCCAAGCTTAAAGGAATTACTAAATCTAAGGCAAAGCAAATATTCATTGAGAGGAAAACATATTCTTCAAATTCCAAAGGTGAATACCACAACTTATGGGCTGAAATCCTGGCGATACCAGGCAGCAAAACTATGGAATTCGCTTCCTGACACTTAATGACATTAGAATCTTAGACAATCTACAGTAACTTAACGTATTTTCACTTAGTTAGATCAAATTAATTTAATAACTACAAATCTAATTTAGTCTTCTTTTTACTATAGTCTTATAAACAATTAATATTATCATGGCAATACCTGTAAATTAGCTTTTTCTGTAGCTAAGTGTATTTGATCACGTTAAATAAATGTTATTGTATTGTATTGTATTGTGGAAAAATTTTTTAATGTCTTTCGGCAAAAATTCCTTTCATTTGTTTTGAAGTTATTCGCTTAAGTGTAGTTCACAACAAAATTAAATATTAAGGCAAACTAATTTTTGAATCCGAATATGAACAGGCGGATTCAGCCTCTTAATCAGGTCACATTCAAGATCACACCTCATGATATTGCCCAAAAAGCATCTCTGGAAATATGATTTATCAGGTAGTATTTTACAACTCAAAGGGCACTTATGCCCCCCTTGCCCCTCCTACTGCTCCTAGCAAAAGGCAAGAGGGGCAGCTGCCCCTCCCAGTTCCGGCGTCCCTGCATTTAAATTACAATCCAGAGAACAAAATAATTTGTAGTATTATTCAATTGTAGCCTTAGTATAAGAGCACGCATCCAAGACGTGTACCAAGTTGCGCTGAAGAGTGACGAGGTGTAGAATGCCGAAACATGAATGCCTGCAGAGTGTACTAATTTTCATCTATTTTTTATAATATTATTGAAGATACATGCCGAATACCAGCCCATAATAGCAATACGTCACACGTGACTGGGCCGAAACATTTGCCGACGGATATAAGCAGTGTAATAACAATATGGCTAATCCTGCAAGCCGTGGTGAGTAGATATTATTTTGTACCTTTTTGTCTGGAAATAAACTATTGTGGATGGCATATCAGTTATAAACTCAAATCCAATAAGGATCAAATAGCATCCCTTATTGATCCATTGTTACTACAGGACGAAACCTAAAATAAACTAACTTTATTTATATTAGGCAGTTCTATCAGTTCTAAACTGTTCTTCATACAGGTCCACTAAAGATCATCTCTTATTGTTCCAGTGTTACTACAGGGTGAAACCTAACCAAACTAACTTTATTTCTACTGGATAGCTCTATCAGTTGTGTAAACTGTTCTTCCTAGAGGTCCAGTAAGGATCATCGATCTCTGATTGATCCAGTGTTACTACAGGAGCAGATCTAAACTAGACTAACTTTATTTATATTGGACAGGTCTATTATAGTTCTAAGCTGTTCTCCCTAGAGGTAAGGGCAGTAAATACAGGATATTTTCACCACGGGGACAGTATATAACGCCTATATGCCGAAATAAGTCCCAAATATCCACAGAATAATTAGTAATGACATTGTAAAAATCTAGTTTTCTGTATAGTGTGTGTGTATGTATTTGTGGGAGTGCCGCCCCCCCCCCAGTTTGTATAAGTCATCTCTTATTGATCTCTTTCCAATTTATCAACGATATTTATGTTGTTTCAGCGTGCGATAATGGTGTTCAGATTATCATTATATTAAATGATGTCATATGCGGGACCACTCTTGAAGAACTTATTCAATTGGTAAGATTGTTTCTCCCGTTCAATTTGTAGTTTGTTTTCCATCGCCTTTCATATGTATTAATATTTACGTGGTGTATTTTAGATTGATCATAACCGAAGCGATGTAAATTTTGTTCGAATAATAAGGTATTTATTAACTAGACCCTATACTAGTAGTCTACAGTTTTCAGAACTGATTATTGACTTTACTATGTTGTTATAAGTTTCACTAAGCGCACTACGAGGACAATGACTAAACAGGTTACTACAAAGGGTTTCTCGAGAATAATGCAATAACTATATATGTTCCAGATTCTTACACAGATAGCTATTATATAGTATAAGCATAGTTTAATTCAAGATGTGAATTTTGGTGTCAAAAACTCAAAACCCATCTCTTATGGATTAAATTTTAAATGCCATTAAAACTCGATAACTTGGAAAAGGTATAGATTGCAAAGAAATTTTACTACGACACTTGTACGTTCATGTAAAGCAAAATACTTCGAAAAGTTAAATACGAAATTACAAGACCCCAAATTAGGTACAAAGAATTGGTGGGACATAGTCAAATCATTATACGGAAGTAATATACATCAATCAATACCGCCACTATTTGATGGTGATCGCATAATAACTGATGCAAAAGAAAAAGCCACAATTTTTAATCAGTACTTTATTACTCAATGTAAAGTGGATAACAATGATGCCCCGATACCTAACATAATTGATTTTCAAAATTCAAAGGTTTATTTCACATCTATCCACAACTGAGTTTGAAGTAAAAAATTTATTAAGTATAATTGATGTTTCCAAGGCTTGTGGTGTCGATGGTATGGGTAACTTTTTAATTGAAACTTGTGCTCATGGTATTGCGAGTTCTTTTTCACGATTTATTAATATTTCTTTTTCCAATTTTTCCGTCTGCATGGAGGAAAGCAAATGTTATACCTATTTTCAAAAAGGATGATCGACAGTCTAAGGAGAACTATCATCCTGTTTCGTTAGTGATATCTATTTCAAAAATTTGTGAAAAAATCTTATTTATTCGGCTTTATAATTTTTTATTGGAAATTTATTTCCTTAACCCCTTTCGATCAGGTTTCCGACCTGGCGACTCTACAGTCTACAGTAAATCAACTTGTTTTTATTATTAATGAAGCCTTAGAGCAAGGTAAGGATCTCTGGGAGTAAGAGATCCCTTACTTAAATGGATAACGAGTTACTTATCTGATAGGATGCAGCATGTATTAATAGATGGTCAGTAATCTAATTGGGACCGAGTTCCCCAGGGTTCTGTTTTGGGCCCTCTGCTTTTTTAATTTACATAAATGATATCACTTGCAACCTTCAGAGCTATGGTTTTTCTTTATGCTGACGACACTTTGCCGCTTGAAGTAGTTGATGATCCAACTTTTTCTGCTGTTAGTCTTAATAATGATCATGTATTTTTCTGTTTATTATATAAAGGACAGTCTTTGAAAAGCGATAACTTTTACAGAAAAGCGATAACTTTTACAGAAAAGCGATAATTGAAAAGCGATAATTTTCACATGTGAGATTATCATGAATAATTTCACATGTGACTGTGAGATCATCATTTTTATCAGTGCTCGAAATCTCTATAAAACACTATACATTACAATAAAAATTCATAAATTTGAACCACGCTAGAGCATGACAACAGCAAAATGCTGGACAATATTTTGGGAGGTGAAATACAAGAACAATAAATCAGAGAGTGTTTACTTGAAACTCACTGGGGGGCGGGGGCAACACCCCTGATAATTGTTCATGAGGAATTTCAGGTAGATTTCCAGTGCACTTTTAGGTAAATTTAAGTAGATTTGCATAAGAATTTCAGGGGAATTCAGGTAATTCTCAGGAAATGAGAAAGTGAATTTGCAAAATAACTGTATTTTCGGAAAAATTATTATATGTCCTGAAATTTTTGTTGTGCATCTGGAAACATTTTGGTAACCCCCCCCCTCTTCTATCTAATTTGTTTTCATTAAGGTTGGTCTTCATATGGGGCTATTCATGTCCTGTTGGCCATACCTTCAACCATATTATGTAGTGTTTTAGTCTATTTTATGTATGGTTGTAAAGTTAATAAATAAATAAATAAATAAATATACATCTTTTGAAAACAGGCGAGGGGTTATTGCATGCATGTATTTCTAGTTATCAAGTTATCAGTGATTGTAAAAGTTGCAGATAGTCTAAGTGTTTTGTTTTATATTATTATCAAGTTATCAGTGATCGCAAAACCTCCAAATCCTTAATTTCAAAAGCCCCGCCGGGGCTAATGCATTTATCATCGGCTTCCCCGGGGGTCGACCCCGAACCACCCAGGGACTTTTGTTAAGAGGATGGAACAAAACATTAACAAAGCCCCTGGGTACAGGGGAAAGTTTAATGACAAAAATCATGTTACATTTAGCCCCCTACCCCAGGGGCAAAAAAGCAAACATAACATCCCTAACAAAAACAAAATATTATATAACTGGATACAAAATACAGCAGAAAAGTAAACAATGCACTTCACATATTCGCACGTGAAGGGCATCGTACATCTGGATATTCTTTCGTGAAACTTTGGCGAACCAAGTTTATGTTGTTGCTACGGAAGAACCCATAAAAGCTCTCTGCTGTGGAGTAAATTGTGGCATCGCCATTTCAAAGTGTACGGGGTTTTATACGAGAGAATGCGTTTCAGCACAAACAACTCGAAAGCACAAATTCCATGGAAATTCCCACGGAACTGTCATGGGAGTAAAAATGAATTCATAATGAAGCAAGAACAGCACCAACAGAGAAAAATGTAACGTTTTCATAGGCTTTTCGGAGGATTTGTACTCGGTAAAATCCTGCCGGAATTTTATCATAAATGCAACAAATAGCAAACTTTTCATACATGAACTCAAATAAAGAATACCGTTTGTCATTTCCGTGCGCAAGCCAGTTTTAGGAGAGCAAAATTTACTATTTTCAATTTTTTTTATATTTTCCATAATTTAAGAACTCAAGCAATCCATACATATAAAAAATTACATTTCATGAACAGAATTGTGGAATGGAGAGCAATTTCAAAATTATCTTACTTTTTTTGATACACCCTGTATATCTCTATTACATTCAAGAATGCTTATATTATCTGTCACTCCTCGGTTTTCACCGCATGAAAACTGCCCCAAACCTGACAGAGAACAACTATTTTCCATAATATAACTTTGAACACAATTAACATTAGTGTTTATATTTACCAAACAATTTTCATAAATGACAGTTTGTAAAAGTATAAACGCTTTTTCCTGTAGTATGCAGTATAAACATGAAAGTGACCGCTCTCCTAGAACTGCAATCCAAAAATAGCTGCTTGTTTCTATTCTTGTAAGAAAAATATACTATTGTTAAAAAAAGAACCAGAGAAAAAAACGTAGAAATATAATTCTCCTTGTCATTTCCAGAAAAAGGAAATAACTAAAACGCCTACCATAACTAAAACGCCTACCATATTATATTCCTATTATAATAATTCGAGATAGGGAATTCCCCAACACTATATCAGCTATTCGCCCCATTCCATAGCAACATTTCTGTTTTTATGGAACATGTGTAAGCTTGGAAGCCTTAACAAACACGCAAAAACTATAAACATAACATTACGAAGAGTTATCAGGGATTATTTAGGAATAGCTCGGGAATTACAAAGATAAGTTTTAAATGGGCCGAAAACCCCATATGTAAACCAGGAGTTAAATATAGCACACATACATGGCATTATTTCTTCTCAGTGGCTCGTTTGCAGACAAATTTTTTTTAGTTATGACAATAGGAGCCTTGCTTTTTATTTATTTAATCCATTAGATCCACATAGGTGCCACTTTGGAAAAATGGCACTTCAGTTTTGAGTAATTTTTAATATCTGCCCGCCATCTTGAAATCGTCGTCTCTTGGGAACTTTCAAAAATATCTAAAACGTAAAACACCGTCAGAAATGTAGAGTGCCCATCTATGCTGCAATAAGAAAAAATCATTGCGAACTCACGACTCCTGAAATAGCAGACTCAGAAACTAACAACAAATCAATCTTGACTGATAATTTAAAACAGTTAAGGGATGCTAATCATAAGAAATGTTTAATAGCTAGCTTAAATGTAAACAGTCTACCGAACAAATTTGTCGAAATCAAAGAGTGGCTACGCTGTGGTGTTTTCGATATTCTCTCAATTCAAGAAACAAAAATTGATAAAACCTTCCCAAATTTGCAATTTTACGTCGAAGGATTTAAATATTTTCGTAGGGATCAAAAGAAAGGCGGAGGCGGCATTATTGTCTACATAAAAGAAAACATTATTGCACAAAAAAAGAAAATTGCATCCAAACAGCTCGAGACCATTCTTCTTCAATTACGCATCGGACAGCGACAATTTGCATTAATCAGCGCATATAAACCACCCTCGGTAGACAATAACGCGTTCACCACTGGATTATCAATGGTATTAGAGAAGCGTTTCTATTAAGCGAAAACATTGTTTGCACTGGAGACTTGAATTCTGATTTATTGCAGCCTCTGTCCAACAATAAACAAGGGAAATGCTTGCTGGATATTTGCGACATTTACGATTTAGATTCTCTTATTAATAAACCAACGCGAGTATCAGAAAATCGATCGTCTTGCCTTGACGTTATTTTAACAAACGTGCCAGCATTTATGGGAGACTCTGATGTTGTAGAAACAGGACTCAGCAATCATTACTTGGTATATACAGTTCTAAACATAAAGCCTATGCGACCTAAATCAGAGCCCCTCATTAAACGCTCGCTTAAAAATTTCAATCAGAAGGCGTTCCTTGAGGATCTCAGTAAAGTACCATTCACTACTGCTTACATATTTGACGACTCAGACGACGTTTATTGGTGCTGGGAAACACTCTATAATCAGGTGCTTGATGATCATGCTCCAATAAGAAAGTTTTATCGCCGGCCACGAATAGCATCAAAGTTTATCACTGCAGAAACCCGAAATGCCATGAAAGAAAGGGACCGTTTAAAGAAAAAGTATTATAAATCTAGAAACCCTACAGATTGGAAGCAATACCGCCAGATCAGAAATAAGGTAGTCAGCATGCGAAGGGAATCGGTCCAAGAGCATTTCAGGAAACTCTGCGTAGACAAACACGGAAATCAGAAAAAGTTCTGGAGCCTATAAAACCGTACATTAATTCAAGGAAAATTAAAAGCAATAGTCGTATTGTTATTAAAGACAATGAAAAGATTATTACTGACACGAAAGAAGTGTTGGAGATATTGAATAAATATTTTTCGAGCGATGCTTATGTTCCAGACTCCGATCATGCAAATGGACCTATGCCAGACTTAAATCACATAGCTGAAAACGTTGTAAATGTGCCAACATTATCACTGAAGGAAACTAATTACGTAGAAGTTAGAGAGATACTAGAAGATGTTAAAATAAATAAAGCTACAGGATACGACCTTATCCCGCCTCAACTGGTGAAAGAGTCAGCTGAAGTGCTTTGCTATCCCCTGAGCACACTAATTAACTATATTCTGGGCAATGGAAAAATCCCTCAGCAATGGAAATCCGGCGAAATAACACCTGAACTGAGCAAAATTAACTATAGACCTTTAACGATTTTGCCTTCCCTCTCTAAGGTATTTGAGAAGATAGTAGAGCTGAGAATGAGCCCTCATTTTGAGAAAATATACCACAAATACGTTTTTGCGTATAGAAAACATCACGGATGTGATACAGCTATTCTATCCTTGACAGAAGAATGGAAGAAGGAACTCGACAATCACAAGGTGATTGGTCTTGTGGCGATGGATCTTTCAAAAGCTTTTGACACACTGCCACACGACTCCATCCTTGGCAGACTGCTTTTCAATATTTTTATGAATGACCTTGCATATGTTATCAAACACAGCAAATTATCAGCTTACGCGGACGACACACAGATCTCCTATGCAGATAAAGACCCTGCAAAAGTGGAAGAAGTCGTTAACTCTGATTTAGCCAAAGTTGACCAGTGGTATAAAGAAAATAGAATGCAAAGAAATCTCTCCAAGTACCAAGCAATCGTAATGGGAAAACCAAAAGCCAATCTTGAATTTCGCTGTGAAAACACAACCATTCCCAACTGCGAGGAAATGGAACTTCTTGGGGTCACTATGGATAACAAGCTGAAATTTGAAAAACATGTAGCAAAAATATGCCGGAAAGTGTCTCAACAAACTGCAGTTTTAAAGCGTATGAGAAATATACTCCCATTCGAAATAAGATCTAACATTTATACGTGCTTTATCGCACCGCATTTCAGGTACTGTTCTGAAACCTGGCATTTTTGTAACAAGATCACAGCTGACAAGTTGGAGAAAGTGAACGAACGTGCGATCCGCTTTGTTTTCAAGGACAGGTACGCACCCTACGAGGAACTTCTCGCAAAATTGGGACTCTCAACTTTGAGGCACGAACGAATTAAAAAAATTATTTGTAATGTGTATAGATCATTAAATCACAGCAACTATCCAGCGAGCTTAAAGGAATTACTCAATCTAAGGCAAAGCAAATATTCATTGAGAGGAAAACATATTCTTCAAATTCCAAAGGTGAATACCACAACTTATGGGCTGAAATCCTGGCGATACCAGGCAGCAAAACTATGGAATTCGCTTCCTGACACTGCTAGAGCCACAGAAAACTACGAAATGTTTTCAAACAGTATTAGTTTAAACGACATTAGAATCTTAGACAATCTACAGTAACTTAACGCATTTTCACTTAGTTAGATCAAATTAATGTAATAACTACAAATCTAATTTAGTCTTCTTTTTACTATAGTCTTATAAACAATTAATATTATCGTGGCAATACCTGTAAATTAGCTTTTTCTGTAGCTAAGTGTATTTGATCACGTTAAATAAATGTTATTGTATTGTATTGTATTGTATTGTCTTGACTGGTATGTCTAAATCATTCATGTTACATGTTTCACAGTCGTGAATACTGGAACGGGTGGAGAATATGCTGGTGCCATGTCATTAACTTATTCAATTTTAACATTTTTTTTCTTCTTCAATCTTCCTTTTAGCATATGTTTCTCTTCTTTCAGCATTAACTCTCCTTCGACGTTGATCTGTATAACGTTTCAGTTTATCTTCATCTGATAAAAATTTCCATCACACATTGCTAGAACTTGGTTGTTGATTTTCTTTATCAGGGTTTTCAACTATGTTGATGTTTTTTCTTTGTCATTCAATGACATAGTTGCCAAGTTTTCAAAAAAGTTAGGTGTGGGATTTTCTCGGAACTCCACATCAGGTGCACAGTATGTATTACAATGGCGGCAATTCTGATCATATTTGTTGCGACGGCCACTTGCCTCATTCTTATACATGTGTGTTTAGTGGCAAAGCATCATGAAATTAATTTCTAAAATTTCTAATTTTCATCACTAAAATTAATTTTAATGAGGTTTGAATCAGCAATTTGTCAGAGATTTCTTGTGAATCATGTTGTCCTGAATTTTGTAGCATTTATCGTGTTTATTGTTAAAGTTTTTATGTTATAATTTTGAAATGATCATGTGGAAATAAGAAACAGTACGATGGGTTTGAAAACAAGGTTGTGTGGTTTGGATCATTTTGTATTTCTCACACTGTTTTAACATTAAGTGTCCATTTTCCTTATTTCAGTCTATAAAATTACTGTACGTTTGTCAATTTACATTTCTTCCAGTTTGCCCATGTACAAATACTATGTTGCACATGTACTACGGCAGGTATCATCAGGAAATTTTATGTTTGCAAAGGAGATCACTTACACCAAGTTTTGTCTTTCAAGTTTCATCTTTCAAATATATAAGGTTATATATATATGAATGGTTTGTAATTCTTCAGACATTAAAATTTTAACAAAATGTTAAAAATATTAAAACCGACCAAACGTTTCTCCGGTTAAGGATTCTTCAATGAACTAACTATACAAGTAATATTCGTTTCCTTATATATCTAATCACTGACAAATTTTAAAATTTACATGTTCACTATGACTAAATTTCAAATCAGAAAACAATAAAAGATATGGTTCTATACACATGCTTATATAACTATTGTTATAATACAAACGTTATACATTAATCACTCTCCCAATACAACCATTCATTATCTCCCCTGATTGTTTTTGAATTTCGATTGCCTTAATATATTTACGTTCATCATTGTATCAAATATTCTTATGAATGATTCTCCAAGTTTGTCCTCTTTCCTTGTGTGACTCAGTATCTCCAAATTTCTGCAATGTGAACAATTAATTTTGTATACCAGATTCTTCAAACATTGATTAGGAGGGGGGCATAAGGGGGGGGGGTCTGAAAACTGCACAGAAAAACGTAACTAGGGATCCAAGGATAGTGTGAAGTTTCAAATTGAAAAAGACACTGCAAGAACTATATAGGGTCGCCGACAACCTAGAAAAGCTGATGGCTTACACTACGAAATAAACAGTTACCAAAGGCATTTCATCTCATTATTTATCGCTTTTATATAATACGCTCGGTACATGAGTAGCGTGACGTTTGAAACAAGCCTAACACTTCAGAAACGTGCCTTGTGAAACTGATGCAATTTATCTATTCATTGTGATGCTACATGCGACAATTCGAAATTTAAATTGTTCACCAACAACTAAATTTTGCATATTCTAAATTTTCATTTGCATTTGCAGCTGTCGCTAAAAGCATCCCCATGAGGCTACTGCTATGTTAAATTTATCTAAAAATATAATTGAAATATGTTATGAATAACCACCACTACATCGTTACATCATTAAAAGAACGCATTTTATCCTCATCCATTCCATATTTATCCGCATATCTGTTCCATGGATCTGCTCCATCCGCTTCCGCATTTTATCCTAATTGTGACATGTTTCACAATAACAAGTCTCATTGACCTTTGACTTTTCCCAGTGTCACGTTGTGTCTATTGTCAGCTTTTTGCATGTGTTGAATAATGTCACTTTAACATTTCAATAGTTTCACAGTTAAGCAGTGTTTAAAGCAGTTTTGACAAGCTTTGATACAGTTCTGTGTACAGAATACTACAGATTGATTCTCGTAAGATCTGGTAGAGTTATCGTTGCACTGAACACGAGTTTGCACTGTTGACAACAGCGTTATGCTAGACAGTAAACAAAGACAAGGTCTGTGACGGTACACGTTGGCTACATGTACCTCCTTACTTTTTTCTTCTATTGGATAAAGCTTGTTGGCGAGCCAAGCGATTGGCGATAACACGTTGGCGATAACACATTGGCTATCTCCTCGTCTTTCTTATTTAAATAAGGAGCTCTGACTCAACTGATTTCTTTAGTCTCGTGAGCTCTGACTCGACTGATTTCTTTAGTCTCGCAAGTTATTTTCTTCGTTTCTTCTAATGCTGTACAAACGTTTACCCACTTCTGTTTAATAGTTGTTTATGCTTTATTGATCTGATACAGATCTGATGCAATTTCGCTCTTTGTACTGAGTGTAGCCATCTATTCTGTGATGTAGCACCTTATACAGTCAATGACAATGTATATCGATGGGCATTTAATTGAATGCTGGTAATGCATAACATCAATTTATATATTGTATTATTGCGTAGAATCTCAAAGATTTTCTCAATATTTTCTTCTTTTGAGAGCTTGCAAATTGATGATTCAGTGAATTCAATTGCCTTGATGGGACTGCTGTCAGATGTCAGGAATATTATACCTTCTGCACAATGGATCTCTTCGGCTTTGAGGTTTTTGCCAATAGAACTGATTTTGTCTACAGGACTATGAAGGCGACATTTGGCATCATAAGACAGGAAGGCAATCCACCTGTAAGATGGTATAGCAATGCTGATTGGGCATGGGTACATGCCACGTTGGTTGTCTACCAAGTATATATCCAATTCGGGAATGATAGTGTGGCATACATATCCCATGTCTTCCAGTGCGTCTGTCAAGTTCTTGCTGCTCAAAGTGAGAACAGAGGAAGGATCTTGCCAGTTTTTATTTTTCACATGGTCGTTTTTGGGTACAAGCTTTCTGAAATGATCCTTTGTCGTGTTGCCTGAGCGATTTCTCAGAGTTCTTAGAAAGCCTAAGTTAATCCTCTCACCTTTGCATTAAAGCCACCAGTTGGGAAAGGCAGCCTTCGTACTTTTTCCAACATGTGGACAATCAGGCAAAATACACAAAAATTCCAATGCAGGGCCTACTACGCCATTTTCGAGCTTTTCATTCAAGATCTCAAATGCATTCTTGTTTCCTGTTTCACAATCGCTGCACAACACCATTACCACATGTCGAACACAAATATGACAGGGTTTGTACCATAGATATCTTATATAAACTAGATAGCGCATCTCTTTTAGTAAAATTGAAGCCAAGAATATTCCAGCGGTTACTCCCATTTGAATAGATGGCGGCCATGTTGGTCGTTCCCACTTGCTAATAAACGCTTAATCTAGCTTAATTAAGCTTTCATCATTCGAATAGTTTAAAAATGTATTTGGAATAGGGTTAACTTAATGTTTAAGTTCCCTGTTTAAGAAATAGAAAACATATGAATCTTCTCATTTCATGGGAACGACCTGAGACTGCAATCACGGCTTCAATTTTTGAATTGCAGAATAATTAGATGCACTATCTAGTGCATATAAGATATCTATGGTTTGTACAGGTCCTGGAAAACCTGGAAAGTCATGGAATTTCAATATTCCAAAATCCAGGCCTGGAAATCCTGGAAAATCAATCTCAGTCATGGAAAGTCATGGAAAATTGAAATTTTACATAACATTAACAAAGTATTTTACTTATTCAATTTACCAGTCATAACAATTATCACTTATTTTCTGATACCGAGGGAAACAGTGTGTTTTGTGGACCTGAGACCGTTTTGTGGACCTGAGACCGTTTTGTGGACCCGAGACCGTCGAATACAAGTCTGACAATACAAGTCTGACAAGACCTACAATACAAGTCTGACAACTACAATACATGTCTGACAGGACTTGTACTACAGTACAGTACAGTGCAGTGCAGTACATGTCCTATCAGAACAACCTTGCAACAGTTTCGACAAGGTTGTTACAAGTTGTCAACTTGTGATAAGCAGTGCGAATACATCTTGTTGACGGTTTGTTGGCAGACTTGTTACAAGATGCGAGATTTTTACGTGTGTAGGCATGTCCAAAGGTCGCATCTTCACATGATGGCGCACATGATTTTTTTCGTTATTCGCCGGTATTGTTTCCCTCTCACGCTGTTGCGAGGGAGACAGCCTAATTTCGTCACTCTCGCGTGATATGCTCTCAACCAATAAAACACTAGACTTTGACTATTGGTATATAATAATATGAATTGTTGTTATATAACAGATTTTTGTCAGAGCGAAGTGAATTTTGTTCTTTTATTATATCTGTTATCGTTAAAATATTAATGAAATTCCAGACTTCCAGGTCATGGATTTTGACAAAATGGTCATGGAAAGTCATGGAATTTTAAATGGGAGAAGGTGTACGAACCCTGATATGACGTTGTTCAAGGCACAAATCACAAGCTCTTAAGGATGGAACATGGCTAATATGTCCAACTGCTTCACATTCAGCACACACAGTTTTCGAATCATAGCATTCATCACAAAAGCTGGCACAATTAATTTGATCAGATGAGAAAATGTGACATCGATCTTCTGATATTTCTTGGCATGTTTGACAAACTTGTAACGTTT